TCGTTACACCGACTCAAAAGTCACCTCGTTACACCGACTCAAAAGTCACCTCGTTACACCGACTCAAAAGTCACCTCGTTACACCGACTCAAAAGTCACCTCGTTACACCGACTCAAAAGTCACCTCGTTACACCGACTCAAAAGTCACCTCGTTACACCGACTCAAAAGTCACCTCGTTACACCGACTCAAAAGTCACCTCGTTACACCGACTCAAAAGTCACCTCGTTACACCGACTCAAAAGTCACCTCGTTACACCGACTCAAAAGTCACCTCGTTACACCGACTCAAAGTCACCTCGTTACACCGACTCAAAAGTCACCTCGTTACACCGACTCAAAGTCACCTCGTTACACCGACTCAAAAGTCACCTCGTTACACCGACTCAAAAGTCACCTCGTTACACCGACTCAAAAGTCACCTCGTTACACCGACTCAAAAGTCACCTCGTTACACCGACTCAAAAGTCACCTCGTTACACCGACTCAAAAGTCACCTCGTTACACCGACTCAAAAGTCACCTCGTTACACCGACTCAAAAGTCACCTCGTTACACCGACTCAAAAGTCACCTCGTTACACCGACTCAAAAGTCACCTCGTTACACCGACTCAAAAGTCACCTCGTTACACCGACTCAAAAGTCACCTCGTTACACCGACTCAAAAGTCACCTCGTTACACCGACTCAAAAGTCACCTCGTTACACCGACTCAAAAGTCACCTCGTTACACCGACTCAAAAGTCACCTCGTTACACCGACTCAAAAGTCACCTCGTTACACCGACTCAAAAGTCACCTCGTTACACCGACTCAAAAGTCACCTCGTTACACCGACTCAAAAGTCACCTCGTTACACCGACTCAAAAGTCACCTCGTTACACCGACTCAAAAGTCACCTCGTTACACCGACTCAAAAGTCACCTCGTTACACCGACTCAAAAGTCACCTCGTTACACCGACTCAAAAGTCACCTCGTTACACCGACTCAAAAGTCACCTCGTTACACCGACTCAAAAGTCACCTCGTTACACCGACTCAAAAGTCACCTCGTTACACCGACTCAAAAGTCACCTCGTTACACCGACTCAAAAGTCACCTCGTTACACCGACTCAAAAGTCACCTCGTTACACCGACTCAAAAGTCACCTCGTTACACCGACTCAAAAGTCACCTCGTTACACCGACTCAAAAGTCACCTCGTTACACCGACTCAAAAGTCACCTCGTTACACCGACTCAAAAGTCACCTCGTTACACCGACTCAAAAGTCACCTCGTTACACCGACTCAAAAGTCACCTCGTTACACCGACTCAAAAGTCACCTCGTTACACCGACTCAAAAGTCACCTCGTTACACCGACTCAAAAGTCACCTCGTTACACCGACTCAAAAGTCACCTCGTTACACCGACTCAAAAGTCACCTCGTTACACCGACTCAAAAGTCACCTCGTTACACCGACTCAAAAGTCACCTCGTTACACCGACTCAAAAGTCACCTCGTTACACCGACTCAAAAGTCACCTCGTTACACCGACTCAAAAGTCACCTCGTTACACCGACTCAAAAGTCACCTCGTTACACCGACTCAAAAGTCACCTCGTTACACCGACTCAAAAGTCACCTCGTTACACCGACTCAAAAGTCACCTCGTTACACCGACTCAAAAGTCACCTCGTTACACCGACTCAAAAGTCACCTCGTTACACCGACTCAAAAGTCACCTCGTTACACCGACTCAAAAGTCACCTCGTTACACCGACTCAAAAGTCACCTCGTTACACCGACTCAAAAGTCACCTCGTTACACCGACTCAAAAGTCACCTCGTTACACCGACTCAAAAGTCACCTCGTTACACCGACTCAAAAGTCACCTCGTTACACCGACTCAAAAGTCACCTCGTTACACCGACTCAAAAGTCACCTCGTTACACCGACTCAAAAGTCACCTCGTTACACCGACTCAAAAGTCACCTCGTTACACCGACTCAAAAGTCACCTCGTTACACCGACTCAAAAGTCACCTCGTTACACCGACTCAAAAGTCACCTCGTTACACCGACTCAAAAGTCACCTCGTTACACCGACTCAAAAGTCACCTCGTTACACCGACTCAAAAGTCACCTCGTTACACCGACTCAAAAGTCACCTCGTTACACCGACTCAAAAGTCACCTCGTTACACCGACTCAAAAGTCACCTCGTTACACCGACTCAAAAGTCACCTCGTTACACCGACTCAAAAGTCACCTCGTTACACCGACTCAAAAGTCACCTCGTTACACCGACTCAAAAGTCACCTCGTTACACCGACTCAAAAGTCACCTCGTTACACCGACTCAAAAGTCACCTCGTTACACCGACTCAAAAGTCACCTCGTTACACCGACTCAAAAGTCACCTCGTTACACCGACTCAAAAGTCACCTCGTTACACCGACTCAAAAGTCACCTCGTTACACCGACTCAAAAGTCACCTCGTTACACCGACTCAAAAGTCACCTCGTTACACCGACTCAAAAGTCACCTCGTTACACCGACTCAAAAGTCACCTCGTTACACCGACTCAAAAGTCACCTCGTTACACCGACTCAAAAGTCACCTCGTTACACCGACTCAAAAGTCACCTCGTTACACCGACTCAAAAGTCACCTCGTTACACCGACTCAAAAGTCACCTCGTTACACCGACTCAAAAGTCACCTCGTTACACCGACTCAAAAGTCACCTCGTTACACCGACTCAAAAGTCACCTCGTTACACCGACTCAAAAGTCACCTCGTTACACCGACTCAAAAGTCACCTCGTTACACCGACTCAAAAGTCACCTCGTTACACCGACTCAAAAGTCACCTCGTTACACCGACTCAAAAGTCACCTCGTTACACCGACTCAAAAGTCACCTCGTTACACCGACTCAAAAGTCACCTCGTTACACCGACTCAAAAGTCACCTCGTTACACCGACTCAAAAGTCACCTCGTTACACCGACTCAAAAGTCACCTCGTTACACCGACTCAAAAGTCACCTCGTTACACCGACTCAAAAGTCACCTCGTTACACCGACTCAAAAGTCACCTCGTTACACCGACTCAAAAGTCACCTCGTTACACCGACTCAAAAGTCACCTCGTTACACCGACTCAAAAGTCACCTCGTTACACCGACTCAAAAGTCACCTCGTTACACCGACTCAAAAGTCACCTCGTTACACCGACTCAAAAGTCACCTCGTTACACCGACTCAAAAGTCACCTCGTTACACCGACTCAAAAGTCACCTCGTTACACCGACTCAAAAGTCACCTCGTTACACCGACTCAAAAGTCACCTCGTTACACCGACTCAAAAGTCACCTCGTTACACCGACTCAAAAGTCACCTCGTTACACCGACTCAAAAGTCACCTCGTTACACCGACTCAAAAGTCACCTCGTTACACCGACTCAAAAGTCACCTCGTTACACCGACTCAAAAGTCACCTCGTTACACCGACTCAAAAGTCACCTCGTTACACCGACTCAAAAGTCACCTCGTTACACCGACTCAAAAGTCACCTCGTTACACCGACTCAAAAGTCACCTCGTTACACCGACTCAAAAGTCACCTCGTTACACCGACTCAAAAGTCACCTCGTTACACCGACTCAAAAGTCACCTCGTTACACCGACTCAAAAGTCACCTCGTTACACCGACTCAAAAGTCACCTCGTTACACCGACTCAAAAGTCACCTCGTTACACCGACTCAAAAGTCACCTCGTTACACCGACTCAAAAGTCACCTCGTTACACCGACTCAAAAGTCACCTCGTTACACCGACTCAAAAGTCACCTCGTTACACCGACTCAAAAGTCACCTCGTTACACCGACTCAAAAGTCACCTCGTTACACCGACTCAAAAGTCACCTCGTTACACCGACTCAAAAGTCACCTCGTTACACCGACTCAAAAGTCACCTCGTTACACCGACTCAAAAGTCACCTCGTTACACCGACTCAAAAGTCACCTCGTTACACCGACTCAAAAGTCACCTCGTTACACCGACTCAAAAGTCACCTCGTTACACCGACTCAAAAGTCACCTCGTTACACCGACTCAAAAGTCACCTCGTTACACCGACTCAAAAGTCACCTCGTTACACCGACTCAAAAGTCACCTCGTTACACCGACTCAAAAGTCACCTCGTTACACCGACTCAAAAGTCACCTCGTTACACCGACTCAAAAGTCACCTCGTTACACCGACTCAAAAGTCACCTCGTTACACCGACTCAAAGTCACCTCGTTACACCGACTCAAAAGTCACCTCGTTACACCGACTCAAAAGTCACCTCGTTACACCGACTCAAAAGTCACCTCGTTACACCGACTCAAAAGTCACCTCGTTACACCGACTCAAAAGTCACCTCGTTACACCGACTCAAAAGTCACCTCGTTACACCGACTCAAAAGTCACCTCGTTACACCGACTCAAAAGTCACCTCGTTACACCGACTCAAAAGTCACCTCGTTACACCGACTCAAAAGTCACCTCGTTACACCGACTCAAAAGTCACCTCGTTACACCGACTCAAAAGTCACCTCGTTACACCGACTCAAAAGTCACCTCGTTACACCGACTCAAAAGTCACCTCGTTACACCGACTCAAAAGTCACCTCGTTACACCGACTCAAAAGTCACCTCGTTACACCGACTCAAAAGTCACCTCGTTACACCGACTCAAAAGTCACCTCGTTACACCGACTCAAAAGTCACCTCGTTACACCGACTCAAAAGTCACCTCGTTACACCGACTCAAAAGTCACCTCGTTACACCGACTCAAAAGTCACCTCGTTACACCGACTCAAAAGTCACCTCGTTACACCGACTCAAAAGTCACCTCGTTACACCGACTCAAAAGTCACCTCGTTACACCGACTCAAAAGTCACCTCGTTACACCGACTCAAAAGTCACCTCGTTACACCGACTCAAAAGTCACCTCGTTACACCGACTCAAAAGTCACCTCGTTACACCGACTCAAAAGTCACTCCCACACTCCCTGGTCCACTCTTCCCACTCACCTCAGTCACAAAGTTCCCTTGAAGCGGGCTGTCAGGCAGCAGCGAGTCGCACGGAAGGCCGGGGTTGAGCTGGAAGAAGCGCGTGGGAGAGGCGAGGCTGAAGGCCTGCCACAGCCCCTGGCAGGTCTGTGGGCTCTCAAGCTCGCTTATGAGCACGCTCTCGACTGTGTATGGGACTGTCTGCTGCAGGCTGCTGGAGGGTGTGGCTGGAGTGATGCGTGAGTAGTGGTTGCACTTTACGTTAGTGTTTCCTTCGTCGTACCACTCTTGGTCAAACGCCACGCAGAGTAACTGTGGGGAGGGGAGGAAAGGGGGGAGAGGAAAGAGATGGTAGATTGGTGTACATTGGTGTACATTGGTGGTGTACATTGGTGTACATTGGTGGTGTACATTGGTGGTGTACATTGGTGGTGTACATTGGTGTACATTGGTGTACATTGGTGTACGTTGGTGGTGTACATTGGTGTACATTGCTGTACATTGGTGTACATTGGTGTACATTGGTGGTGTACATTGGTGTACATTGGTGGTGTACATTGGTGTACATTGGTGTACATTTGTGGTGTACATTGCTGTACATTGGTGTACATTGGTGTACATTGGTGGTGTACATTGGTGTACATTGGTGTACATTTGTGGTGTACATTGCTGTACATTGGTGTACATTGGTGTACATTGGTGTACATTGGTGTACATAGGTGTACATTGCTGTACATTGCTGTACATCGCTGTACATTGGTGTACATTGGTGTACATTGGTGTAGATTGGTGTACATTGGTGTACATTGGTGTGCATGTTGCACTTGTGACCACAACCCCATGCTGCACTTGTGACCACAACCCCATGCTGCACTTGTGACTTTCTAAAGTTCCTTCAACCCGCTGATCTCACCTGCCCTTGCCTCGGCCCATCGGAGCAGCTGAGCGCCTTCAGAAGCGCCTCAAGAGTCGCCTTTTGAGGCGCCTCTGAACTCCCTTCAATACAACCCGCTGATCCCACCTACTCAGAAGTGATCTCACTTACTCAAAAGTGATCTCACCTGCCTGTGCCGTGGCCCATCGGAGCAGCTGAGCGCGGGGTTGAGCGGCTCTATCTGCGTGGCAAAGAGCGCGTTGATGGAGTCACACGTGTCGCCCTGCAGGCAGACATGTCAGACACAGGGAGAAGTTGAAGTGAGAGCGAGGGTATTGGGAGAATCGGGTTGCGCGGTTCTGTATGTGAGGCGAAGAGCGCGCTGATTGAGTCGCATGTGTCGCCCTGGTGTCACACGCACATGGGGGGAGCGATGAGGTGAGGCGAGGTGAGGTGAGGTGATGCGAGGTGAGGTGAGGTGAGGTGAGGTGAGGTGAGGTGAGGTGAGGTGAGGTGAGGTGAGGTGAGGTGAGGCGAGGTGAGGTGAGGTAAGGTAAGGATTTGGCCAGGAGCAAACGGATAAGATGGGATTGACAGGGCGGGTGGAGTGAGAGTCACCTGTAAAGGGAGAGTGAGTGGTAGCACATGTGGTCTGGTCAACAGACCTGCACTAGGCATGGGAAAACGAGTCGAGAACAAGCTCGACTCGGTTCTTTCTACTTGATCGACGCAAGCCAGAACGAGTCGATCAATACTCTACTGGTTGAATGCTCATTGACTGGCTTGCACTGCACTGCACTGCACCACACTGCACTGCACTGCACCGCCTGGTGCTGCATGGGCATTGGGAGACGGAGGAGGGGGCATGCAGCTTAAATGCAGGTCACATGCTATGCATAAGCAAATTACCAAACAGCGGTTTGGTTCGTCTTGAACTGGTCGAGCTATTTAAGACGAGCCGGATTGATCCATACCGGTGGTTAGCCTAGTTGCAATTCCACTTACATAACACAATGCCACCTTCGTATAATGCAATGCCGCTTACAAAATCCGACTCCAGTTACATTAAGAAATGCCACTTACATAATTAACAGTACATTGCTGTACATTTCTGTGATTACAATGCCACTTACATAATTAACAGTGTAAATTGCTGTACATTTCTGTGATTGCAATGCCACTTACATAGTTAACAGTGTACATTGCTGTACATTTGGAAAAAGCACGGCTGGTGACGTTGACCAGGATGTCGGCAGGAATGGGAGCTCGACATTGGAAGCCCTGGTATCAGAGCATGGTATCATAGAATGGTATCAGAGCATGGTATCAGAGCATGGTATCAGAGAATGGTATCAGAGCATGGGCAGTCGAGAGCAGGGTAAAAAAAAAAGAACGTATTTTTGGAATTTTACCATAAAAAACGGTACCGTAAAAACGGCGCTGTGCCGTGCTGTGCCGTGCTGTCCCATGCTGTGCCGTGATGTGTTGTGATGCGATATGTTATATGTGATATGCAATGTGAGATCGCCTTCCTCACCTTGTTTTCACTAAAAAACTGGGTCTGTGTCAAACCAAAAGTGTTAAGTATGAGGGGGCATGTGAGACCAAACTGGGACAGGAAGGTTGGCATTCGAGTGCCACCTGCTTGCACTGTAGACATGTTGGGGAAAGGGGGGGGGGGGGGGGGGGGGGGGGGGGGGGGGGGGGGGGGGGGGAGGGGGGGGAGAGGGAGGGAAAGGGGGGGAAGAACATTAAAAGCAAATAAAGTGTTACAGAAGTTGGTCAGAGGTAGTCAGTCCGTCGTTGGTACCCTCCTATGGTCACATAGTTGGGGCAAGATCAGGGTTTTTGCGTTTAAGCCAAGAACGGAGCCTGCCCGTGGCATTCGGGCGGAAAACACCTTCCTAGGCAATTGGGAGGATGTGTGTGGGAGGCTACATGGGTTGTGGTGCAAAAGATGTCAGCCCCACATGCCATGCCCTTCAACTTAGGCGTTTTTTTAGGCGCCTCAAAGATGTGCGTGGGAGGCTACATGGGCTGCGTTGCAAAATGTGTCAGCCTCACATGCCATGCGCTTCAACTTAGCAGTGTGCCCCGTCTCTTTCCAAACCCCTGACTTTGTTGGCCTGCTTAGCCAGTTTGCATTAGCTGAATTGAACTTGTCATGCATTCTTCTACTGCTAATGAAACCACACTTCTCTCTCCCCTCAGGAAATAATGGGTTGTAAGCAAGAAAACAACACGAAGTATGCTTCTTACCCAGGGAGCAACTGGCAGTGCCCTTGGGAGAAAAGGCGAACGGGAAGTAGGGCGAAGGGCAGAGGCAGGAGTAGGTGCCATCTAAGCCATCTATACACACTCCAGGGGCGCATGGGTTGCTGGAGAGCTGGCGACACGTGTAGGCCTCTGGTGAGGGGAAGGGGGGAAGGAGGGGTGGGGAGAGGGAGAGTAGAAAAGAGAGGATGGGGGAGGTGGGGGAGGAAAGAGCAAGAGGGAGGGGGAGGGGGAGGAGAGCGAGGGAGGGGGAGTGGGTTGGGGAGATACAATGGAAGGGGATTGGGTAAGTCTCATCCACCTCAGCAGTGGGGGATGTAGGAGCGGAGCAGACATGATGGGAACAATGGGCTGACTTAAGCAGGAGGGCAGGCCAGTGAGGTGAGTGAGGGACGTGAGGGCCACTTGCCTACCGCACTCCACCATTTGCCTACCCACTCCACACCTCACCTCTTGCACTCCATGGCTCACCAGGGAAGCAGGAGGGCAGGCCAGTGAGGTGGGTGGGCTCGAAGGAGGGGAGCTTCAAGGCGCACTTGCAGGACGGCAGCAGGACAGAGGCGTCCCACCAGGAAGGCGCCTTAGAGCATGTGCCCATGCCGCAGGGGAGCACGGGAGAGTGGTTGCAGAAGTCAGTGTCTATCAAGGGGGGTGAGGGCGGGTGTGCGGGGAAGCGAGGGGATAAAGCGGGGGCTGGAATATGCATATGTATATATATGTATATATATATATATATTTACCTTCCTCTTTTCTCTCCCCTTTCCACTCGTGGAGGAGAGGGCGACGGGGGCAGGGCTCGTGGCTTGCTATGCCTTCCCCCTCCCACTCTTCCCCCTCCCCCCCCCCCCCCCCCCCCCCCCCCCCCTCCTACCTGTGAATCGGAAGGTCCAGGAGGAGAGGGCAACGGGGGAAGGCACGCGGCCAGGGGGGGGGGTGAACCCAACGAACAGCTGGCCAAAGGATGGCGACCATAGGTCCGTGGGGCTGCTGCTGCCGCTGCTACTGCTGTTGCTGCCGCTGCCGCTGCCACTGCTGCTTTGAGTGGTCTGTGTCACATCAGTCAGAGCAGCACACAGGTCAAAACTGAGCCTCGTGCTGCCCTTCACAACAGGGGGTTTGTACCACCGAATCAGCATCTCCTTGCTGCTCCCGTTATAGTCAACCCTCATCTGCCACACGTCATCCGGCTCCATCGGATAAACCACTTTCTTTGCAAAAATCGAGGTCATGTTAAAATCAGTGTTAACGCCAACATCGCCCATTTCTGGGTTTGCTACAGTGTCCCATTCCACAGCTACACTCCGCGCGCCGTCCGGCCAGCTGCCATTAGCGAGTCGCGAGGATGGGTCCCGGCCGTACCCCATATAAGCCCCACCTTGACCTACGGTCGCATCAGTGCTTATAACGAACGCGAGCCCATGGGAAGCGGATGTATTCATGGAAAAGCCGAATGTGAAGGTGAATGAGCGAGCCATGCAGACAGGAGGCTCGGTGGCTGTAGGTTGGGAAGGTGGGGAGGAGGAGGAAGGAGAGGAACGGGGGGAGCTGCGAGGACGAGCAAAGGGAGGAGGAGGGAAGGGAGGGGAGGAGGAGTAGAGGAGAGGGAGACGGCGGGGGAAGAAGAGGGCTCCAGGGGCGGGTTCGTTTGATTGGCTGGTGCATGCCACGTCAGCAGCGACGGAGAGATCGGCGGCGAAGAAACGCTTCCGTGTGCTGCCACGTGTCAGCAGGGGAGTGGCTGGCGTGATGTAGGGGAAGGAGAACGAGTCTGCCGCCCAAAACGGAAGCGGATCCTCCGCTGATGGAGTGGCATGATACAGAGGAAGGGGGGGATGGGGAGGGTGGGGTGGGTGGGTGGAGGGGGGGTGAAAAAGGTGGGGGGTGTGGGGGTTTCGGAGGAAATCACGCCAAGGAGGTTTACTCCTAGGTAGGGTGTGGACTATGGGCCATGATAGGCAGATTCCATGAGCTTCACGCCTCCTCTTCATATCAAGGAACACTGGACGATGAACACTGGAAGATGAACACTGGAAGATGAACACTGGACGATGAACACTGGAAGATGAACACTGGAAGATGAACACTGGACGATGAACTCTGGAAGATGAACTCTGGAAGATGAACACTGGAAGATGAACACTGGACGATGAACTCTGGAAGATGAACTCTGGAAGATGAACACTGGACGATGAACACTGGAAGATGAACACTGGACGATGAACTCTGGAAGATGAACACTGGAAGATGAACACTGGACGATGAACTCTGGAAGATGAACACTGGACGATGAACACTGGAAGTGTGATGGTGAAGGAACCGAGGGGATGGAAGGGAAATACTATGGTCGGTTCAGCACAGGCAATTTCCCAGCCGCCTTGAATATACTGTGATACAGAACCAACGAAATCTTGAGGAACAGTGCATTCGAGGCGCCTCAAAAGTCGTCTCAAAATATCAGGCGCCTCAAAACTAGAAACCTCAAAAACTGATTGTGGTTATGTGATTGAGCGGTGTGAGTAGCAGGTTCAAGACACTCCACTCACCCTCCCCCACTTAAAACGTCCACCCCAGCACCACTTAAGGTCACTCAAGCAACTCACCCTCCCCGACTTGGAACGTCCACCCCAGCACCTCGTGTGCCTGAGCCTGCTCCGCCCCCTTGCCCGTGGCCGCTGTGAATCCCACAAACAGCGGCGGGGGGGGCACTGCCGCCTCCGGGTCGTTCCCCCCCAGCCACTCGCAGGTGTCCAGGAATGTGCTCAGCACGGCCGAGCGCGGGAGAGGGGGGGCGGAGGGGGAGGAGGAGGAAGAGGAACGAAAGGAGGAGGAGGAGGGGGAGGGAGAGCGAGAGAACCGGGGGAAACCAGGGAAGCAAGGAAAGCGACAGGAGGAGCGAGGGGTGGGGGGGGGGAGGGGAGGAGGAGGGGGCAGGGGAGAGCCAGACGGTGAGGTGGGAGGAGGAGGCGTTGTAGTGGATGGTGGCGAGGAGGGTTTGACCGGCGTTGAGGGAGGGAATGCCGAGGGGGTGCACGGCGGCAGAGGCGAGAGAGAGCATGCTGCCATGCAGGTTCACCCCCACGTGGTGGTCGGGGCGGTCCCAAAACTCGGGGGAAGAGGCCGTGTCAAACTCCACTGCCAGGCTCCGCTGCTGCTGTAGCTGTGTGTGGGGGAAGCAGGAGGGGGAGCAGGGTAGTGGGCAGAAGAGCAGGAGAGAAGGAGAGCAGGAGAGCAGGAGAGCAAGGAGAGCAGGAGAGCAAGGAGAGCAAGGAGAGCAGGAGGGCAAGGAGAGCAAGGAGAGCAGGAGAGCAAGGAGAGCAAGGAGAGCAGGAGAGCAAGGAGAGCAAGGAGAGCAGGAGAGCAAGGAGAGCAAGGAGAGCAGGAGAGCAGGAGAGCAGGAGAGCAGGAGAGCAGGAGAGCAAGGCAGGAAGAGTAAGACCAGCAGACAATAAACAGGGACGACGAAGCGGAAAGACGAACAGCAAATCCACAACAAACGCCATCCCATTGCTGCCTATCCCCGCCCCGCCCCATTGGGTGTGCGGATGCGGAACGCAAAGGAACTGTACCTGAGATGACACGTACCTGAGATGACACGTACCTGAGATGAGATGTACCTGAGACGACACGTACCTGATATGACACGTACCTGATTTGACATGTATCTGAGATGACATGTATTCGAGATGACACGTACCGGATATGACACGTACCTGAGATGACACGTACCTGAGATGACATGTTCCTGAGATGACACGTTCCTGAGATGACATGTACTTGAGATGACATGGACCTGAGATGACACGTACCTGAGATGACACGTACCTGAAATGACACGTACCTGATATGACACGTACCTGAGATGACACGTACCTGAAATGGAACACTGCTGGTGCTGATGAGATGCGCGTACCTGTGAGTCATCAGCACCAGTCGTGCTCCCCGGGGGCAGCAGCAGTCGGCCGTACCCCAGGGAGGGCCCCGGCAAGCCAAGAGTGGGCGTCGGCAGCATCACAAACGCCAAGCCCTCGCCGCCCAGCCCGGCGGCATTGGGGGAGGAGATGCGGAAGGTGAAGGAGGTGGAGAAGGAGAAGGGGCGGCAGGGGGAGGAGGGCGTGGCGGGGGCGAGCAGGGCGAAGGGGGTGGGGTGCAGCGCCAGGGCGGCAGCGTTGAGGTCGGAGAGCGTGGTGAGGGAGAGGGAGGAGCGGTTGCGACGGGTTGAGCCGGCTGTGAGGAGCGGGTGGGCGCTGGAGAGCGGCCAGTGGGAGAAGGACTTGAGAGGGGAGGGGTCGGCTGCAGGGCAGGGAAGTGGGGAAGGCGTGGGGGAGGGGAAGGAGGGGAGGGGGGGCGGGAGGGAGTGGGAGAAGTACTTGAGAGGGAAGGGGTCGGCTGCAGGGCGGCGGCAGTGATGGGGAGTGGAAGGGGGAGGAAGAGTGGGCGCAGCCGTGAAATCAGGGATCGATGAACAGAGCACATGAGTCGGAGGTTGAAACTTGGACGTTGAGCATCATGTGTGCAACAAACGATGTTGATCGATAAACAAACGATGTTGATCGATAAACAAACGATGTCAATGCGCAACGCAACGCATGCATTCTACCATCGTGCCTGTGCCACACCAGTTACCCTGTCAACCATTCCTGACTTTCTGATTCACTGCGAGTGGGCATGACAGACGCAAGGTCGATATCAGTGGTCCCCGCCCCACTTCCAACGCCACACCCACTCACTCAACTGGGCCATCCGCCCGTCCGCACCGTCTCACCAACCGTCTGTCTGCACCTACCCCCCCCTCTCACTCACCTGGGGCTCTATCCCTCCCCACCTCGCCCGTCCTGCATCCACCTGTTCCTCTCTCACTCACTGCGAGTGGGCATGACAGACGCAAGGTCGATAGCAGTGGTCCCCGCTTCCGAAGCCACTCCCTCTCTCTTCACCCCCACCTTCGCTCCCGCTCCTGCTCCCCCTCCCGTACTCGCAGCAACAGCGAATTCGGCTGCTCCCGGTCTTGTTCCCACACCCTCCGCTGCCGCTGCCGCAGCGTGGGCTACGAAACTAGCTGCTTGCACTGTCCGCGCTGCTGCAACCCGTGATTCCCCCACCCCCTCCTCCGCTGCCGCATTGTGAGATACAGTCTCCGCACCAGCTGCTTGCACTGCGGGCGCTGCTGCTGCTGCCGCCGCTGCTGCTGCTACTGCTGCTGCTGCCCCTGCATCTGCTGCTCTCTTCAGCCCAGAGCTCCGGAACTGTTGTGGCCCCCAGACCCGCCTGAGTGAGGGGAAGGGTAGCGTGGGGAAGCGGAGAAGCCTTTCCAGGGCGGATGCAGCGCGGGTAAGGTGGGGGTGTAGTGCGGATCGGATTAGGAGGCCCATGGAGGAGGAAATGGTGAAGCCGCTGCCCCCCCTGCTGTCAACAACGGCCCTGCTGCTGCTGCTGCTGCTGCTGCTGCCGCCGCCGCCGCCGCTGCCGCTGCTGCTGCTGGTTGTGCTGGTGCTGCTGGCGCCGATGCTACCACTGTCACTGCTGCTGCTGGGAAATACGCTGCTAGTGGCGTCGGCAGTACGGCTGGAGGTGGCGACGGTGGCAGTGCTGCTGTTGCTGCTGCTGCTGCTGCTGCTGCTGCTGCTGCTGCTGCTGCTGCTGCTGCTGCTGCTGCTGCTGCTGCTGCTGCTGCTGCTGCTGCTGCTGCTGCTGCTGCTGCTGCTGCTGCTGCTGCTGCTGCTGCTGCTGCTGCTGCTGCTGCTGCTGCTGCTACTGCTGTCTTGCACACCTCGAATCACCAAATGCAGCGCCACTCCCCCGGGAGGCACAACCAACGAGGAAGGGGAAGAGGCGGAGGAGGAAGAAGAGGAGGGGGATTTCGGGGGGTCAGGGAGGGGGAAGAGGAGGGGTCCCACTTGGAACCAAGGCAAGGCGCCGGACAAACTCGCACTGCTCGCCCCACACGGCACACCCACCCGCCACTCCCCCCACACCTGCTCCCCCGCCTCTCCTCCAGCTGCTCCCCCTCCCCCTGCTGCTGCGGCAGAAGCGTTCAGCGGAACTACCAGCAGCAGCACCTTCAACAGCCGCACTGCCTCCCCTTCCCCGGCCCCCTCCCCCTCCACGCACAGGCTGGCGCGCGCAAAGAACGAGAGCGACAGCTGGCGCGGGGACTGCTGCTGCTGCGCCTGCTGCGACTCGTTGCTGGTCGGCGCCGCGGGTTTGAGTTCGCACAGCGCTTGCGCCACGCCTGGGCCGCCAAACGCGCTGCTACTAGTACTATCATTACTACTGCTATTGCTACCATCAGAAGTGTCGTTGCTACTAGGCGACGCGGAAAAAGCGGAAGTCAGCCGTAAAAAGCGGGACCCGTCGGCTGCCAGTAGGGTGTCCGTGACTCCCGTGACCCCGTTCTTAATTGACAGGTCAGCAGGCGACGCCGCCGCCCCTCCTGCTGTCGCGACCGCTTCTACCAGTGTCGCACCCGCTGGCGCGCGCATTGTTCCGCGGTTTCCGCCGCCAGTTGCGGTGGCGAAGACCTCGTCGCTTAAAAACGATTCCCCATGTTCCAGCGCGCGCCACGGGAATAAATATGGCCACGGATCGCAGGACGCGTTCAGCTTCTTGCGACGCCATCCTGTATCGAGACAGCTTGTATCGAAGCTTGGGTTCGAGAGGAGATTCAAAGATTCACCTGTGACGGCCAAAGAAGTGGGGGTATAATGAAATATTTGGAGATTTACAGGGCTCAGCGGATAGAAACGAAACTTCTAGAGATACAGCTTTGCCAGCTCAGCTGATCGTTGCGGCAACATCTACGCACGAACGAATAATCGGGAGGAGCGGAACGGAATGCACACCGGCAAACGACCGAAAAGTGGCTTATATTGTGAGGAGGAAGAAGGGGGTGGAGGCAAAAGGAACGAGTAAAATGTGGAATTATAACTACGCCTGGAGAAGGACGGCTGCTACATAGTGGCTCGTCTCTATTAAAGGCGTGCTTACGACTCGACAAGTACTTAGCATGATAGAGACGAAACCTTAATTGGCGGTGATACCGAGAACGGGAGAAGCGGAGCCTCTTACTTGGATTCGTTAGGTTATAGCAGTCGACGAGACCGCGAGCGACACGAACAAAGGCTACGAAATAGAGGAGAAACGTAACCCGTCGGAATTTCGCGACACAGTGAAGGCTCGTGGCCCTTGCGTGAACACGCAATCTGCGGCGACAGATGCGGAAGCAATTCATCTGCTGGACACGGTCTTGGAATTAAACTTTTCCGACAAAACTACGCGCTGCGATCGGTTGCATTTGAAAGAGGCGTCGGACGTTTCCGAGCAAATCCCGGACTGACACGTCGCCATTCCGAGTTGGCCTGTCGCGGCGCGCGTATTGGGACTGCCCAGCGAGAAGCTACTAGAATGGCGATCGCCACATCTTGTACACCCTGTTTCGCGCTACACTGTCAATGGCTATACTAACTGATCGGATGTACACACATCAATGCGTCCAGGATGGTCCATGCACATACGATGTAAGCACGTTTTCCCGCACTCAACCGTACCCAAAAGCAAGTTGATTTTTTAAAACCGTTGTGTACCGTTCATCAGGAGTCCATTTGCCCGTCACTACCTGCAGTTCGGCTGCAAGCACGAGACCGCTACGTTCCAAGCAACAGTACACACTGTAGCCTGTGAATCTCATTGTCAGTGTAGCGCGAAAGAGGGTGTACTCTTTAAAAAGGTCGTTTCGTTAGGCATGGACAAGCGGGTGGTGGGTACTAATTATTACATACGATGAAAGGTGTTTCACGTTGCAACTTGCCAGCCAGCCCCTTCCCTTACTGTACTGTACTGTATGCCTTGGAGAAAGGTTCAGTCCAGTTGCTCTCAGCCACACAGCGTGTTGGTGCGCCGACATCTGTGGGGGGGGGGAGGTTGGGGTGGCAGCAGCCAATTGCTGTGATCGCCTCGTTGTCACCGCACTGCAACCATGCTAATCTATACTGCAACTCGGGGAACAGCGACCAAGCACCAATACTGTACAGATATGGGTACACACTGTATCTCGCTTCTTGAAACTACGGGAGGGGAGAGGGAGGGGGGGGGGTGGGGGGAGGGGGGTGGGTGGTTTCGGCTCCCGCCCCTCGCGTGCTGTGCTAAGCGACGGCGTCAGAAACAAAAATGACGCGGGCAAAATGATGCAGGAGTGAAAGATGGGGGGGGATTGGCGGGATGAGGCAGATATCTTCCCTGACACCTTGCTGAATTGCTGGATATTTCATCGCCTTTTTCGCCACCAGCTCTGGCAGGATCTTGGAGTTGGTGGCGATAAGAGTTGCAACCTCCGGTAGGCGGGATGTGAGAGCTCCAATTCTTCAACTGGGCGAGTTGAGGGCGTGTCCAGTTCGTTTCATTTCGGGATTTTTCGTGCCAACACACGTATCAAGGTTAAATAATGACCACCGTACCTAGAAACGAATGCATTGTGAGTGGAGTCCAACCATCCTGTAATTTCAGAAGCGCGGACATATTCCCCGCCACACGAATCAGCAGTGCTCTGACCACGTTGAAAACGAGGTAACAGTTCCCTCGTCAATCATAGCTTGAGAATTTTTGTGCAGGCGCAGGGAACGTTGGCGAGTAGAGCGAACTACTGACGAAATCGTGCAAGCGATACAAGGGGCACGAACTGTAGTGGCCAGGACGCGGTGCTGTACCCTTGTTCGCGTCCCTGCTGATTCGAGTAACGTGAGTCAGACGACTCTAGGTACGTGCAGGGGGCGTGCCGTCTTGTGAACGAAAGCTGATTGTGTCCGCTGGACACGTTCAATATAGGGTTACCACAAAAAATGTGGTAACTGATGGGGTTTACGAACAGTAAATGTACGAGCTGGACACCCCCTGAGAGTTTGGTCTGTGGTGGTGTGCAGCACCGCATGGTAATGCTGCAAGTGAGGTTTTCCTTGGAGAGGTCATGCCAGCAAAAAGTGAGAATCACAAAAAGTCCCTGTTTGTTCACAGTTCGTCATATATTCTGACATATATCACCGGTCGTCACGAGGTCATCACAGGCCAATCCCCATGCGGGAAGATTTAAGCACGGATGTCACAAAACAAAACGAGAGTGAAGAAGTTGAGAACCTTCATCATCTCCCGTCCCTTAGGGTGTTACTTATTTACTAAGCAAAACGTTTATCGCATAAAGAACAAACGTGTCAACTTTTCCACCGAACTTATGACGAACTGTAACGGAACAGCGACTTTTGGAACAAGACGAACTGTGTACAGTACGACGGACGGCCCATACAGAATGGCAGTTTTCGCCAGCAGAGGCCGAGGAGCAGAGCAGAGTCAACGACACCAGCGCTAGCAGCAGACGTACCCCTTGTTTTGCCTTTCAAACCTGCGCACATGCAGGTGGCAGGTTTTGTTTTGATCAAATCTGCTAAATAGTAACCGTACCGAACCATAGTTCACCATCCTAAACCGTGTTCTGTATAACCAGAGATGTTCTTACATCCGAAGCCACTCCAGCGCGAAACATGGTGTGTATCAGCCTCACTCGCATTCCTGAAGCATTGCATTGGTTCTCAGGATCGTAAACACCTTAGTCGGCAATAGTCTACTTGCTATCGCCTATCGTGTTCTCCACGATCTCCCGAATCGAATGATATGCGCAGCTCTGCTTGAAGTTGTCAATACACACTTCAGCAATTTTCAGAATCTGATTGGTATAATTTCCAGAATGAGTACAAGCAGTTTTATAGTCAGGCAAGACACAAAATGCGATTCGTAACTTCACTTGTTTCCCAAGTAACCGCGTGCGCCTCGTTTCACCCCGAGTCGCACACGCAACCGAACCGAATTCGGTGAACACTCCTCAAGTCCGAATCTGGAAATTTCTCGAACGCGCCTTGGTCTCGAACCACAATTTCCCCTCGCCAACTTCAATCTCGATGCTTCTTCCACCTTCTCACACATTCCTTCTCGATTTCTCTCTCCCTTCTCACGCCGTAGGCCGATTTCCACCGTTTCACCTACAATCATCCACGCGCTTCCATTTCGCCGTCATTCCGCCGTCGTAGAGACTTTCGCCATAGGTTCCATGGTTGGGCGAACCAACCCTAACAATCTCCCCTGTGGTTCGTCAACCACGAACTCCACTCGCACTCCTCCCCTGCTCCTTGTAGCCTTCACAGGGTCTAAGTCGGCTTCACGCTCCCCTGCAGCTCCTGCACCTTGAACCTCTGCTTACGTGTCTTGAAGTTGAGCGCCTTGACATCCAAACCTTGAGAGATTTTCTCATGCCTCTCGCTTCTCCTCGGCATCTTTACACCCAACACCTCTCGGGTCTCGTACCCTTCAACGCGTTCATCCTCCTTAAGCACTTGCCCCTTTGCAGTTGCATTCGCCTTTGATCCTTTCACCATGATGTCCCCTTTCACAGCTTCAACTCCCACACACTTCGCATTTACTGCTTCATCTTCAACCACGATCGCTGCTGCAAAAGTGTTGACGCCGTCTCCATCTCCATCGTTCACTTTCGTCACATCCGTGATCACTATCTCCTCTTCCTGCTTCACTGTTGCCTCGACACTTGTTGCCGTATCCTCCGAGTGCTCACTCTCATCATCCTCAGTAGACTCAGGATCCTCATAGATCTCATCCTTATCGTTCATCGCGACCAAGTTCATCTCATAGAAACCGTCACTGAAATAACCATCCGCATACTTCTCCCACTGAGGACCAAACACTGTAACCTCGCCTCTGTCATAAAATATCTTGCACCCCAAGTCATCAAGCTGTGACTGACTGACCAGGTTCACCTTTAAATCCTCGACCAGCAGCACATTCTCCAGTCTCATCTCTCCATACGGACTTTGCAGCACCACGTCACCCTCTCCTGTCACTGGTAACTTCCCACTGTTACCTTGTAGTATATAATCCTCACTCGACTCCCTCACATTCTCCATCCAATCTGACCTGAATGTCATGTGACGCGTGCATCCGCTGTCCATGAACCACGCCCTCTTCTCACGTCCATCTGTCTGAGCCTCCTTCGGTAAACGCACCACGTTCGCGAGATGCGCTCCTCCCAAAATCACATCCTCCTTTTCCGCTTCCACTACATTCGCCTTTGTCGCCACATTCCTCTGCTGCAACGGACCCTTGTAGCTCATGCTATTCGGGTTGGAGTAGCACTCTGCGGCACGATGCCCGTAGCGCCCACAATAATCGCACTTGCCGCCAAAACCTCGTTTCTGCTGCCACTCCGCTCCTGCATTTTCTCCTTTATCATTCTCCACAGCTTTGCCCTTGTAGTTTCTGCTTCGAGGATTTTCGTAGCAGTTTATCGCTTTATGCCCCCTCTTTCCACACTGGTAGCAAGCTCCCACGCTCCTTCCAGCGGCTGCCGCGTTCACCAACGCAGGTTTCTCCTGTTCCACGCCCTTGGTGAACTTCTCCCTTCGCTTTTGATGATCCCGTGCTCGCTCCAACGCATGAAGCATGGCAATAAGTTTTGTCATATTTTCCGGTGGGTGGCAGATCAACGCCGGTCGCTCACCCGACCAATCTTCAGGTAGCCCGTTCACGATGTGCCCTATCATCGCCCTTTCAGTTTCCGGCTCGCCCATCGCAGTCAAGTCATCATTGTAGCTCCTCGCCATGTTGACGTAGTCAATAATCTTCTGGTTCGGCTCCATGGTCATCAGCAGCAACTTCTTCCTCACATCGGCGATATTCGCGTCCATGTGCCCGAGGTATGTAGACTCCATGTACGCCCATGCCGCTTGTGCAGAGTTCTCAAGCTTCCGTTTCTTGGATTCCATTTTTTCCTCTTCCGATTTCGCCGCACGCTCGGCTTCGTCGCCTTTCTCGTCCGGTCGGTAATACTCCCACAAGCCGACCTCCTTCGCCCTCCTTATGAATTTCAGTCGCCACGTGCTGTAGTGCTCGCCGTGGAACCGCTGGGCTTCGCTCAGCCCCATGGTGGGCTTAATCACCACCCCTCCTTGCGCCAGCATTTCCAGAAGTGCCTTCCCTTGGGGATCTCCAATACTCACAGAGGAGCCCGAACTAGCTTCCGATTGTCCGCCGACCATCTCGAAAGCTTCGCTCTGCACTTAAGAATGCTTAAACGCCACTTAAACCAGCTCTAATACCAGTTCTCAGGATCGTAAACACCTTAGTCGGCAATAGTCTACTTGCTATCACCTATCGTGTTCTCCACGATCTCCCGAATCCAATGATATGCACAGCTCTGCTTGAAGTTGTCAATACACACTTCAGCAATTTTTAGAATCTGATTGGTATAATTTCCAGAATGAGTACAAGCAGTTTTATAGTCAGGCAAGACACAAAATGCGATTCGTAACTTCACTTGTTTCCCAAGTAACCGCGTGCGCCTCGTTTCACCCCGAGTCGCACACGCAACCGAACCGAATTCGGTGAACTCTCCTCAAGTCCGAATCTGGAACTTTCTCGAACGCGCCTTGGTCTCGAACCACAATTTACCCTCGCCAACTTCAATCTCGATGCTTCTTCCACCTTCTCACACATTCCTTCTCGATTTCTCTCTCCCTTCTCACGCCGTAGGCCGATTTCCACCGTTTCACCAACAATCATCCACGCGCTTCCATTTCGCCGTCATTCCGCCGTCGTAGAGACTTTCGCCATAGGTTCCGTGGTTGGGCGAACCAACCCTAACATTGGTGAGCTTCTACGGACCGAGAGGTAGGCTGTAGGACCAAAAAGCACTTCCCTTAGCAGTCAAGTATTCCGCCCAGCCGTTTGGTAGAGCGATTATAGTAGACTTCTACCTCCACGTACTAGATCCAAGTTACACGTGTGTCATCCATTTCTTAGTGACTTAGTGAGTGACTTTTCCGGCTGCCGACAAGATGACGCTGCCACCAGTTTCGCTGCTGACTCAGCTCCTATTATTTGTGTTATTTTGCCGGCGCGCGGCTCGAGGAGCGGCGGCAGCGACTCCTGTGATTCTTGACGCTGGTCAAAGTGCGTGCCTTTTCAGACCTGTTAGAAAGACTCGTCGTGTGCCAGTGGACAAGCGCGTGCGGTTCTGTCACATCAAAGTACAGTTTTTGCTAGATTGCAGACCGGACCTCTAGGCAAGGGCGGCTCGAGGACCCTGACGCTCTCAGGGGTCCTCTGCCCTGCAATGCACGCCAAAAGCAAGGCCGATACGAGCGCCTGATGACGGCCGGTCGCTTTAGAATGACTCAGCCTAGTCCCATCCTCTATCGTAGATGTTCTCAGCGAAGCTCCCTCATTCCCTGCCATCACGTGCGGATTCGCCCCTTCCTTCATCTCACCGCAGTCAGAGATCCAGCGGCCCTCCCTCCCAACGCTTTTGCGATTTCTGCCAAGGATGATCCGTTCTATTCCTTCCCCCATCCGTGTTAACTCTCTCGAAGATTGCGCTCTGGAGACGACTTTTTAAGACACCTCAAAAGTGTTCTTCCCCCACCCCTGGCAACTTCCAGCACGATTCGCTCTGGAGCGGCTTTTCAGTGCGTCAGATCAAAGCTTTTCCTTCCCACGATGCCCATCCCTGTTAACCTTTCCTGCAGGATTCGCTCTGGAGAGGATCTTCAGTGCGTCGCCGTCCATCGTGGTGGAGGAGGACTACAGCTGCAGCCCGGGGGAATGCTGAGGCGCCTCAACAGTCCATTTCCCCCCATCCCTGTCAACTCTCTCGCTCGCAGGATTCGCTTTAGAGAGGCTTTTCAGTGCGTCGCCGTCCATCGTGGTGGAGGAGGACTACAGATGCAGCCCGGGGGACTACTGAGGCGCCTCAACAGTCCATTTTCCTCCATCCCTGTCAACTCTCTCGCTCGTAGGATTCGCTCTGGAGAGGATCTTCAGTGCGTCGCCGTCCATCGTGGTGGAGGAGGACTACAGCTGCACCCCGGGGGAATCCTCTTTGATTGTTTGCAACACCAGGGGCGCTGTGACCCAGCTGTGAGTGACAAGCTCCTTTGACCCAGCTGTGAGTGACAAGCTCCTTTGACCCAGTGACAAAGTTCGTTTGTAACGCGTGCGGGCTAGTTAAAATGAAGGCATCAACTTAGCCAAAATCCACCCTCGACTTGACCTAGTAGGTAGCAAGCAAGCGCTATACTGAAATCAGAGACTAGGGTTCGAATCCCAGCTGGTCCTCATTTTCCGCTTGCTTGTAGCGAGAACTTGAATGTGGTTACCATACTCGAACCCCGCAAATGATTCCCGCTGGCGTGTGACACACCAGTCAAGTCCATGCGCAAGCAAAATTTAGGTCCCTGCGCAGGCCTAGTCCTTGAAGTCACAAACCAACGAGGGCGCTGGCACCAGGGGGGGACGAGTGTATCGCCTGCGGGCTACTGCTGAAGGCATACGCTGCACCTAAGCACCCTCGTCTTAAACCAGTTGGTAGTGAGGCGTTGTATCCTTTGACCCAGCTGTGAGTGACACGTTTGTTTGACACGCCTCCGCGGGGATCTGGTGAACCCTCACGCCTCCCTTTTCCACGTCCCATACCTCCCTTTCCGCGTCTCTTTCCATACCTCTCTTTCCGCGTCTCTTTCCATGCCTCTCTTTCCGCGTCTCTTTCCATACCTCTATTTCCGCGTCCCTTTCCATACCTCTATTTCCGCGTCTCTTTCCATACCTCTCTTTCCGCGTCTCTTTCCATACCTCTCTTTCCGCGTCTCTTTCCATACCTCTATTTCCGCGTCTCTTTCCATACCTCTCTTTCCGCGTCTCTTTCCATACCTCTCTTTCCGCGTAACTCTCTTCCACACCCTTCCTCTCCCCCTCCTCCTCCTCCTCCTCCTCCTCCTCCTCCTCCTCCTCCTCCTCTTGCTCCTCCACCCACCCACACCCCTCTCATTCCCAACCTTCCCCCTCTCCTCCCCCACCACCCAAAAATCAAAGAATATTTTCCTCCCCTCCTCATGGCTTCTCTCCCCATTCGTGGCTTCTCTCCCCCTTCGTGGCTTCTCTCCTCTCCCCCCTTCGTGGCTTCTCTCCCCCATTCGTAGCTTCTTTCCTCCACCCACCCACACCCCTCTCATTCCCATCGCTCATGGCTTCTCTCCCCCCTTCGTGGCTTCTCTCCCCGTTGCCAGGTCTCTCTACGCCATGTCTGACGTGCCATCCGAGATTCTCCTTCTCTCCCCCTCTCGGGCTTCTCTCCCCCTCAACCCCTCCCCCCTCTCCCTCGTGGCTTCTCTCCCCGTTGCCAGGTCTCTCTACACCATGTCTGACGTGCCATCCGAGATTCTCCGCCTCTCACGCCTCGAATCACTGTGAGTGACGGTCGTGTCGATGACTCTAGATAGACTAGGAACAAGCATTTTTAAGGTAGAGAATTTGCGGAGGATTGTTGCGACTGAAACCATTGAAGCAATGCCTTGAGTGACTTCGAGCGATGTTGCGCGTGCGCTAGATAGAGTAGCGTATGTGCGCAATAGAATATAGGCACGAAATGCACTAAAGTACTCATTCGAAGCAGGCCACCATGGGAACAAGAATTAGGAGATGCCCTAAACATAACCCAGCGACTCAGCAGATGAACAGCGATTGAGAGTTTCAAGCGATTGAGAGTTTCAAGCTCCAACTTCTATCCCCCCCTGTCCCTCCCAACCCGTTCGCACCCCCAAGTCATCCGCTGGCCACCCCACACAGCCTCCCAAACCCAACCCAAACCTCCCCTCTCTTCAACTTGTACTAACCTGCAAGAAGTAGTTGGCACTTTCAGTGTGCTTCCATAGAAGCTATGCCATTCCATCGTGGTGTTGCTTTTGAGAATTCTCAAAAGTAACATCAACATAGCTTCCATAAAAGCCATGCCATTCCATCATGGAATGACTCTAGCCCAGCCAGCTCGTCTCTCCTCCGCTCCTCTCAAGCGCAGAGGCTCGGCTCTGCCCATTGAGCCGAGTCAGGGAGAAGTCCAGCTCGTGGCGCGTGGGTCATCGACTCATGGGTCATCCATTTAGGCGAGCTGGCGGAGCTCTGCCAATGGATGAGCCACGAGCCGGCCAGATCGCCATTTAGGCGAGCTGGCGGAGCTGGGACAGAGATGACTAGACGATCCGTTGACAAGCCTTTGCTCCACGAGCTGAAAACCCGCTTGTCCATGCGGCCCAGCAGATGAACAGAAAACGAGGTGACTTCTGAGTCGACTCAAAAGTCAACCCGCTTGTCCATGCGGCCCAGCAGATGAACAGAAAACGAGGTGACTTCTGAGTCGACTCAAAAGTCAACCCGCTTGTCCATGCGGCCCAGCAGATGAACAGAAAACGAGGTGACTTCTGAGTCGACTCAAAAGTCAACCCGCTTGTCCATGCGGCCCAGCAGATGAACAGAAAACGAGGTGACTTCTGAGTCGACTCAAAAGTCAACCCGCTTGTCCATGCGGCCCAGCAGATGAACAGAAAACGAGGTGACTTCTGAGTCAACTCAAAAGTCAACCCGCTTGTCCATGCGACCCAGCAGATGAACAGAAAACGAGGTGACTTCTGAGTCGACTCAAAAGTCAACCCGCTTGTCCATGCGGCCCAGCAGATGAACGGAAAACTGGATCATTGCTGCAGCCTAGCACACGAGTTGTCGAGCCAGCTGCCGGCGCGACTCTCGTGATGATCCGGCGGAGTTGGATTACTGACTTGGCCCGATTTGGATCACCACCGACTTAGCTGCCGGCGCGACTCTCGTGATGATCCGATGAAGTTGGATTACCGACTTGGCCCGACTTGGATCACCACTGACCCAATTGCCGGTGCGACTCTCGTGATGATCCGATGAAGTTGGATTACTGACTTGGCCCGACTTGGATCACCACCGACCCAGTTGCCGGCGCGACTCTCGTGATGATCCGATGAAGTTGGATTACCGACTTGGCCCGACTTGGATCACCACAGACCCAGCTGCCGGTGCGACTCTCGTGATGATCCGATGAAGTTGGATTATCGACTTGGCCCGACTTGGATCACCACTGACCCAGCTGTCGGCGCGACTCTTGTGATGATCCGATGACGTTGGATTACCGACTTGGCCCGACTTGGATCACCACCGAGCGAGCCAGTTGCCGGCCCGTTGAGCCGAGTCAGTGGGAAGGCCAGCTCATGGCTCGTTCATCTAGGCTCGCCTAGCCTCGTTCATCTAGGCTCGCCTAGCCAGTTCACCTAGCCTCGTTCATCTAGGCTCGTTCATCTAGCCTCGTTCATCTAGCCTCGTTCATCTAGCCTCGTTCATCTAGCCTCGTTCATCTAGCCTCGTTCATCTAGCCTTGTTCATCTAGGCGAGCTGGCGGAGCTGGGACGAACCGGGACGAACTGAGTCGAACTGGAATGAATTAGCGGATCTGGCAGACGAAGATGGCCCAGACAATCCGTCGATGAACTGTCGGTTTGACGTGCGGAAAACCAGCTAGTCAATGTGGCCTAGCAGATGAGCCAAAAACCGGCTTGCCGCTTTCAACAGGCGAGCCGCCGAGCTGTATGGAAATCAAATCAGAAGTGATTTCCTCCGGAGAATTCAGAACTGATTTCCTCTGGCGCGGCTCTCGTGCCGATCCGGTGCCGAGCCAGCCACTGACTCGGCTCGACCGTTGATAAGCCGAGCCGGCGATCTGAGCCGTCGGTTCGGGCCGGTGCTCATGCTTCAGTCCCTGTATGGGCCTGTACTAGCTCACAGTGTATTACCAGCAGAGGCCAGCATGCCGATTGACTTTTGAGTTGACTCAGAAGTTGACTTGCTTCAGTCCATGTCTGTGCCTGTACTAGCTCATAGTGTATTACCAGCACAGGCCAGCATGCCGATTTACTTTTGAGTTGACTCAGAAGTCGATTTGATTCAGTCCATGTCTGTGCCTGTACTAGCTCATAGTGTATTGCCAGCACAGGCCAGCATGCCAGTTGACTTTTGAGTTGAATCAAAAGTCAACTTGCTTCAGTCCATGTCTGTGCCTGTACTAGCTCAGTGTATTACCAGCACAGGCCAGCATGCCATTTGACTTATGAGTTGACTCAAAAGTCAACTTGCTTCAGTCCATGTCTGTGCCTGTACTAGCTCACAGTGTATTACCAGCACAGGCCAGCATGCCAGTTGACTTTTGAGTTGACTCAAAAGTCAACTTGCTTCAGTCCATGTCTGTGCCTGTACTAGCTCACAGTGTTTTACCAGCACAGGCCAGCATGCGCATCCCTAATGCCCCTCCCATGCTCCAGAGATACGATAATATTGTCGCTTTCAGCAAGGCGACTAGCATGGTAGGACCTTTGGGATGCCTGCCCTTAGGCGTGCCTGCCCATCCCATCCCACCTGGCCGTACCCATGCTTAGCATAACACCCATCCCACCTGGCCATGCCTGTCCTTAGGCGTGCCTGCCCATCCCATCCCACCTGGCCGTACCCATGCTTAGGCGCGCCTGTTGATCTTAAGCGTATTTGATGTTCGTTTTGAAACTGTCTCAACGAGGGAAGTGCATTAAACGTTGATATGTGAACGCAACATGCACACATGACAACAACCAAGGTGCAAAAAAAGACGTTTTTTTTCAAATTTTGATCGTAAAATACCGTATCGTAAGAAACGATCATAAAAAACGATTAAAAACGGTTTTTGAAAATAAATACTTTTGGTGCAAAAAAACCTTCGTTTTTTTTCAGTAAAAATACCAAAACTGCTGCTGAAACAAGGGGATTGATTGGTGAGAAGAACAAGGGGGCCGTTAGAAGTGCTGATGATGCAGCGGAAGATTGTTAGAAGTGCTTTTGTGATCAGAACAGCATCTTTGAAGTTGAAGAGTTCTTTTTGTCTAACAAAAAAACGACGTTTTTTTCCCAAAAGGTACCGTAAAATACCATCGAAAAAAACAATCGTATTTTTCGACAATCGTTTTTTTCTACCTTGACAACAACATTGGTTGTGTGAGGACTCTGATTACTTACGGCCAAAGATATCACACCCAACTTGGTGATTGTTGCAAGGACCACTGCCAGGATCAGAAAGAGTGTTGGTGCTTTTGTGGGTTCTACTCGTCTTCATTTCATGTCGCTAGTACTAGCACGTGACACCATACATACTGCTAGGCATGAGCATATCTTTTGCTTTAAGCCTGACTGAATTTGCTGCTCGCTGAGAATATGTCCCAACACCATACATACTGCTAGGCATGAGCATAGCAACGAACCCCTTCTTTTAGCCATCCGATTTGGGGTGAACCTTTTGAGGCGCCTCAAAAGCTGATTTGAGGCGAACCAGTTTGAGTTTGACTGCGGACCAGTTTGGGCTGGTTTGAACTAGTTTGAACCAGTTTTGGTCAGTCGGGTTCGGGTTTGAACATTTCTCATGCCTGAAGCATACCAGTATCATACCCACCACCATTCATCTACTTTGAGCCCCCCCCTGCTTCCCATTCATCACCCAAACAGGACAATGAAGAGTGGTAATGGTCACCTGTCCAGCCTACCATCTGTCCTCGGCTCGCTTGCTTCCCTCACCTACCTGTCAGTCACCTCACCTACCTGTCAGTCACCTCACCTACCTGTCAGTCACCTCCCCCCTATCCCTTACTTTTCTCATCTTCTTGTCACACATCACCTTTTTGCTGCTGCTGCTGCCTTCATCCCTTCCCCCTCAACCCCTCCCTCCCTATCCGCCTTTACCTTTCCCCCCTTTTCTAACAGCCCCCTTCACCTTTCCCTCCTGCTCTAGCCATCAGTCCCCTCTTCCCCTCGTCCCTTCCTCCTGTTTTGAGTCGACTCAAAACACCCTCTCACCCGCCCTCCATCCCGTCTCGTCTCACAGGCACATCGAGTCAGCAATCAACAGTGGAAGCATCCCTTCCTTCTTCAGCCGACACCCTTACCTCCCCCCATCCCTCCCTCCCTCCCTTCTCTTCTCACAGACACATCGACTCAAAACACCCTCTCTCCTTCTCTCAGATATGACAAGGAAACGTGTCCCTCCATCTCTTCTCGCCTCACAGACACATCGAATCAGCAGTCAGCGGTGGCAGCGTCCCTTCCTCCTGTTTTGAGTCGACTCAAAACACCCTCTCTCCCTCTCTCAGATATGACAAGGAAACGTGTCCCTCCATCTCTTCTCTTCTCACAGCCACGTCGAATCAGCAGTCAGCGGTGGCAGCGTCCCTTCCTCCTTCAGCCGACTCAAGAAGCTGCGTCACTTGTAGGCAACTTACTTCTCACATTTCTTTGTGACTTGTTGTGCAATAAAGCGACGCACATTAACTGACAAGCTTGTTTGTCCGCGGTACCGTACTTTTCCTTGCTTTCCTTCTCTC